GTTAAAGAGAATGCATGGAACTGTCTTCTGTTCTTGGATTCTTTGATGTTTCCCAGTCAGTCTTAAGACTCTCTTGCCTTGAAAGCCCACGTGACATCCCCGACGGTTATGCAGGATACCAAGCAACGCATAAGATATACGATTCTAATTGATTATTTTCCCCTTCTATTTTATGTACAAAAAATAAAACTGGAATAGTGCATTTACAGAAGAATAGGCAGGAATCGTGCTGTTTTCTGCGCTGGGGGCGGTGTCAATCAATCTTCTACTAAATCAACATCACGTGACTTACCAAGTCCGCAATTTTCCCTCCGCGACAATCAACCAGCAATCATCGACCCGATTCCGCACCGCACCCCTTGCCATTGCCAGGCCCGGCCTTTCTAAAGATGCAAAAGATCGTTCGACGAACGGCACTGGCCAGGAACCAGGCGCAACGAAAAGCCATTCGAGCCAACAAGAGTGCCCAACGCGATGAGCTAAAAGACACTCTGCGACAGCGTTTCGCCTACAACCGGATCGAACTCGACAATATCCGCGCTGAGAGGCTACGACGCCGGGAGGATTGGATGCGAGGGCCTTTGGCACCCCAGCGAGATGCAGGAATGGACGGAAAGTCGTTTGGCGCGTTGAGTCCACAAGCGATGAGGCCACCGGCCATTCCGAAGCATTTGCGGAGGAAATATATCAACTTTGCTCCGGGTGATCGAGTGTGCATTATGAAGGGAAGGGACAAGGGTAAAATCGAAGTAGTAACTCGAGTGGATGCCGAGAACGAGACTCTTACGGTGAAGGATCTTAACATGGTAAGCCTTCATGCACTCTTATGCTTGGGTTTATATATTCTGCACCAGATCAAGGTTTAATTATATATGACTCCAGGCCGATGTCTACTTCCCCGAATGGCTCAGCGAACAGTACGGCAACAAGACACCTTTCCAAACCGTTCCCCTTCCCATCTCTATTGACGACGTGCGTCTCGTTGCTGCCCTTGACGACCCGTCCACAGGCCAAACCCGCGACATGATTGTCGAACACATCTACGGGGGCGGCCCCATTCTCGAGCGCGAGCTTGGCGTCGAAACCCCACGACACACACGCTACATTGCTGGCGAGGATATCGAGATCCCCTGGCCACGGTTTGAAAAGCCAGCCGTCAAAGACGAAGAGTGGGATACACTCCGTATGGAGGTCGAAACGCCATCATGGGTACCCTCGCTGCATTACGCGCCCTTCCCGCCTAGTGTGCTTGACGAGCTTAGAAACAAGTTCTCCAAGTACCGTACGAGACACGATCCTGAGTTCGTGGAACAGAAGCGGTTGGAGGATCTTAAGAAGGAATATCTTCAAAGCAGGTCTTTGATGACGCCGAGAGGCGAGCTTATGGCTTTGATTCGGCAGAAGAAGAAGGAGCAGCTGGATAGCATGAGAGATGAGGATGGGAATTTGAAGCTAGATGAAAATACGGCGTCATTCATTGAGAGTTACATGATGGAGAACTCCGCGGGAAAGACGAAGTCTGCTTAAACTTTAAGCAAACTTGGGTTTTGCATCTGAAGCGCCTCCTATTCTTCTCTTCTCCTGTGTGATTCTTGTGCTGTCATGTTATTAATTTCCCTGGGTGTACCTTTTGTATTACTGTATCATAGAATATGAATGTATAAGATTAGGATTAAGATTATTGGCACCACGTGTGCTGGATAAATATTCTACTTACTTCGTACCAAACTCAACTTCATGCGCAAAGTATATGTATAATAGATATTTTTTGCTTTGAGCATGAGGAAAATGCCAATACTTGGTATACCCGAGCCTACTACATGCGCATCCAAATAAATATATAGTTATGTGTCCCGAATCGGTTATATCATAATTCATAAAAACCGTACACTACACTCGCCGCGTAGCTACTCCTACAAAACGGAATTAAGCCTCACCGAACATGAACAACCTCACCCTTCTCGGAACCCCCCATAGCTTCGACGTCTTTCCCATCGGCACCCCCATCGGACTGCAACCCAATATCACTCTCTCCAACCTTGTCCACTGTATCCCTATACACCGGGACAAAGTTCACCGCAAGCGCATACGTCCACGCAACAACCATGAACATGGTTGGCACGATGAATGCGAATCCAGTGTTGTTGCGCATATCGGCGACGTGGGCCAGGAGCGCAGGGATTGCGGCGCCGCCGCTGACACCGCCGACGATGAAGCCCGAGCCACGCTTGTAGTGGCGGCCTAGACCGCGGATGCCGAGGGCGACGATGGTAGGAAAGCAGACGGATTCGAAAAAGAGGGTTAAGAAGAGCATTGCTGGCAAGGAACATGCAGTTAGTTGTTTGCCTGTTTTAGGAAGGCGGGGGGTTGTTTGGCCGAGAAGTTGGAGGAATGGGACGGGAAGTAGAGTTTTCTTATTCTGAGTTACTTACCCACTCCAGTTTGATTTCTCTGTGTCGTTGAAGCGGCACAGAAAGCGACTACGCCTGAGAGGTAGGCGAGGAAAACCCAGCGTGCTCGAATGAATTTCATCATAAAGGCGCCGAGGAATCGGCCAACGGTGAATGCTGCTTGTGCTCCGGCGAGATATTTTGAGCCTGCAGAGCTGCTTGTGCCAGGCCAGGTTTCAGTAACATAGTTGATAAAGTAAGACGCAATGGCAACTAGGCGGAAGGGTCAGTATCTCTGTGGAACTGAGTGGACTTGGAGACAAAGGAGTTACCTTGAGCGCCAGTGTATGTGAACTGGGCAAGTGTAGCATGGAATAGCTTATATTGCTTCCAAAATGGCTTCTCTTGCTCGCTGATATGCGTAGTAGACACCTGGTATGCCATATCCTCATCCGTAACTTCAGGAATAGTCGACATAAAGAACACTCCTGCCAGCAGAAAGACAAATACACCGATAGCAAGGTATACCCATTGCACGCGCTTCAAAGCATTGACATTGTCCGCGGTGTCGGTAAAAAAAACATACGAGGCCAGCGCTGGCGCAACAACAGTGCCGATTCCGTTGAAAGCCTGGGCTAAATTGATTCGGATTTCGGCGTACTTTGGGGGACCACAAACTGCATGCGATTTTAGTATATCGGACGTGCAGAAAGGCAGTATATGCGTCATTACCTGCAAGATACGGGTTTGCTGCCGTCTCAAGCGATCCCAACCCTGAACCAATGACAAATGTAGCTGCGCAAAAACCTCCAAATGACCGATTCAGACCGGCAGGCCACATGCAGAGCGCTCCAATGCCATAAAGGACCAGTCCGAAGATGAAAACAGTTTTATACCCATAATGCCGAAGAATCCAGTTCGCATAGCCTAAGGACGCAAGAGGGTAGGCACTGAATCCACATAATTAGTGAGTTGTTCTGTGAGAGACTAGCATACGGTGGTTGGTAGTACACACCCAAAATACGCAGCTTGCAACCCTGAACTTCTGGTCTTTGTGATGTTGAGTGTAATCTGGAAATGCTTATTAAGGGTATCAAGCAGCCCATACGCAAAACCCTATGTGGTGTAAGCTAAAACTTGAAACTCCATGCATGTGGACGTCTGCCAGTGACATACCCATAAAAAGAAGAGTATAGTGACGAGCATCAAAGGCCATATACTCTGGCGTAACGTTAGGTTCGCGGCAGACGTAGTCTTGCTATTGTCCACCCGAAACCCAGACCGTGTTTTCAAAAACTGCACAAACCCCATTTTGACGAGAAAGGGAAGCAAATCGAGCTGAAATCAGACGTTGGGATTGGCTTTCTTCAGATAACAACCCAATCTGAGTGTGCGACGCCTGAATTTACAGGGGGGAAAAAGATGCACGGGTCAGAGAGCAGCTGGCTCCAGGACTTTATGTACCGATAGGCTAGAGCTATGCGACATCACGAGAGCTCGCCCAGGGTGCCATCAACGTCTGCTGCGTGGGTGCATTTCGTAAATCGCCAATAGGCTGTAAGGAACTCAGGATTGGAAACACCACGTTTCTCCTCATTTTCCTTCTTCTGGAATCACTCCTCCCAGTCTGGGGGAAAATCGAGCATGGTGACTGGTGGAAGTGGACGATCTTTGGCGCAAACCCCAGACCACCCCGTAGACAATTACCGTTCAGTCTGGGGAAGATCGCCGGCACGAATCCACCACTGAGGGAGGAACATGGCACGATCACACCCTGGCTCAGCCAAGCGACAGCGCTTTCGGGCTTATTGCCTGAACGGCTTAATTCGCAGCATTCTTTGTGCTGGTGAAAATACCCGATGCTCGAGTCTGATAGATTCTCGAAGGCGGCAAGGGAAGAAGAATGGATAGACATTCCAGAAATCCACTTCGCTTCGTGATCTGGAAAGCGCCCGTCTTCCCCAATGCAACGCCAAAGCTCGTGAGGAGAAACGGCTCGGAAACTTGGCTCTCCTCGTATGCACGGCAAATAATGTCCAATTAGATTCACCGTAGGCAATTCAGCCTGGCCAGTCGGATAATTCCATCATGATAACCTGGGGGGCAGGATGAAAAACCCGAATCGGTCAAGCTCTTAGCTGTGCGGAAGTGGGTGTTGAAAATAAAAGTAAAGTGCCAGTACTCCGTACAAGGTACAACTGCGATCAGGTGACAAGCACCAATGGCAGGGGTTAGGTTATATACTCTCGGACGGTCTCTGGCTGAAGTTCGAGATATTTGTTCCTCTTAGATATATTCATCTACCATGATACATGCACGCATAACTTGTCCAAAAGGAGCAAAAATGAGACAAGAAAAAAAAAAACCACATTTCAAGGGCCAATGTCTATCTCTATCAGAGGCACCCATCAACACCAAGTAATCCCTTCGCCAACCAGAGTCTATGCTTTCTTCGGTTTTGACGCGGCTCCGTTCAATTGCTCAGCGGGAGCACTGACGGTAACATTATACAAGCGGCGTTCCACAACCTTCAGAGCCTCATCGATGATACTATTGTGATACTGTTAGTTTGTGTGGAAGAGGACAGAGCACGACGGGAACTGAAGAGACTTACATAACGGGGACACTGATTGCCAGGACTGCCTTCCATTCAATCCAATCCAATGGGAGAATTGCAAATAGATTTTGCAGGAAGGGGATATATAGAATAGCAAAGTGAAGAGCCATCGAGAGGATGATGGCATAAACGAGCATCAGGTTGTTCCAGAGACCGAATGTGAGGAGGGATTCGCTGGACGAGAGCGCGTTCATCGCGTTGAACATCTCAATCACGACAAGAATCGATAGTGAAACGGTTGATGCAGAGCGCGACATCTCGTTTGAGAACATCTCACAACCGATCTCGGGAAACTGCGCGGAGCATTTATGGAAGTGAGACTAATCATCAGTTAGCGGGATTGCTCAAGAAGCGGACACCAAGCACATTATCCTCCGACTTACCAGTTGCCAGAAAGAGATCTGAGGGCCCTCTGGGTTGTAAAGGAACCACCAAACATAACCAAAGACAGTAGCCGCGCCAACATAGGTACCGACAACCATATATCTGAAAAGAAGCCAGCCGCCAACAAGGGGCTCATCGCGCCTCCTAGGGGGTCGTCGCATAACGTCATGGTCCGCAGGGTTAAAGGAGAGGGCAGTGGCAGGCAAACCATCGGTTACCAGGTTGACCCAGAGAAGCTGCACAGGAACCAAAGCCTCTGGCATACCCAGGGCGGCAGTGAGGAAAATAGACACAACCTCTCCGATGTTCGATGAGATAAGGTACCGGATAAACTGCTGAGTATTGCTGTAGATCGAGCGGCCCTCCTCAACGGCGACAGTAATAGTAGCAAAGTTATCATCGGCGAGAACCATATCAGCAGCAAGTTTGGCCACGTCAGTACCAGTGCCCATGGCGACACCGATATCTGACTTCTTCAGGGCAGGAGCATCGTTAACGCCATCACCAGTCATTGCAACCACATGGCCAAGAGATTGTAGGAGGTCCACGAGCTTAGACTTGTGAGAAGGCTCAGTACGCGAGAAAAGCGAAGCATTCCGGACGGCCTCAAGTTGTTCGCTGTGCGAGAGGCTATCAAACTGTCTTCCGGTGAAACTCTTGCCTTCGAGGTTCTCAGCCTTTCCAAAAACACCAATTTCACGGCAGATTGATTCTGCGGTGTTTTGGTTATCACCAGTGATCACAATCACACGAATGCCAGCTTGGGCACACTTCTTGATCGAGTCGGCCACCTCCACACGAGGAGGGTCAAGCATCGCAACAAGACCGATGAGAGTCATGTTCCGTTCCAACTGGACGTAATCCTCAGGCGTACTGACTTTATGAAGAAGAGGGTTCGATGCCACGTCATCGACGCTTGCCAATGCGATCACACGAAGGCCACGGCTCGCGTACTCCACGACCTTAGCAGACAAAAGATCAAAGTGGGCTTTGGTCAGATTTACGCGGGAGCCACTTGGCCCAAGAAGAGCCTGGGAGCAGCGATCGAGGATAGATTCGGGTGCACCCTTGACAAGGAGCTTCTGATTATTTCCAGAACCCACCAGAACAGACATACTCTTTCGGTCGCGCGAGAACTCGTATGTTGCCTGCAGGGGCAAACGAGATTCATAATAGTCACTCGAAACGTGTAGTTTTTGCGAAGTAGGCAAGCTGAGAAGCTTATTGTTGGTAGCAACATCATCGGTACCGATCTTTTCAACAAGAACACGAAGCGCTCCTTCTGTGGGCTCGCCAATGCACGAGAACACGCCGGTTTTCTCATCGTGACCAAGTGCAGCAGCGTTGCAACGGGCCATGACCTCGGTCATCTGTCGGACGGTCGAAGAAGAGGCCGCCAGATTCGTAACAACCTTGCCATTGACGGAAAGGTTTCCCTCAGGCGCGAAAGTTGTGCCTTCTACGTCAATGGCCTCGACGTCGGTCCCCAGTTGAGACAGGTAGACGAGCTTCCCAACACTCATTTGGTTGGTTGTCAAAGTTCCGGTTTTATCGGAGCATATCACACTGCAGCTTCCGAGGGTCTCGACAGAAGGTAGAGAGCGGACCACGGCATTCTTTTGTGCCATTTTGCGAGTCCCGAGAGCCAAACAGGTAGTTATGACAACGGCGAGCCCTTCGGGAATGGCAGCCACTCCAAGAGACACGGCGATCTTGAGATAATAGATAGCACCTTTAGCCCATCCACCGTGGGAAGGATCATTGAAATGCTCGACATTAATGACCCAGACCAGAATGCAAATGACAGTGATCACTTTAGCGAGCATATCACCGAAATCGTCGAGTTTCTGTTTCAATGGAGTAGGTTCCGAGATCTGAGAAGTAATACTTTCATGGATATCACCGATTGCGGTCGATGAGCCAGTCAAAACGACGATGGCCGTAGCATTTCCATTGACGACAGTGGTACCCGAGAATAGGACGTTGGTCTGATCCTGCTTCACAGCCTGTTTATCCTTGACCGCACCAGTATCTTTGCTTACACTCTCACTTTCACCAGTGAGAATAGCTTGGTCCACCCGAAAGCTGTTGCTGTGAATAGCAAGTAGCCTGCAGTCAGCGGGGACGCGATCCCCTACCGCAACGTGAACTATATCTCCAGGTACCAGGTCTTCGGCCTTGATGCGCTGAACTGCACCATCTCGAACAACTTTAGCCTCGTTCGCTGAGTATTCCTGTAGAGCCGCAATTGCCTTCTCGGCGCTGCTTTCTTGAGTCACGCCGACGATCGCATTGAGAATGAGAATGGTTAAAATCTGGGGTAGCGCGCAGAAGTTAGAAACTCTGTGGTGAATAACGTGGGCCGATTCCAGTACGTACCACTGCAGGGTCGACAAAAACAGTCCAGTCGTCGCTATCCTCGAGAAGAGCAAGGACAAATGAAACTGCGGCCGAACCTAGAAGAATGAGGACGAGCTGGTCCTTGAATTGTTCGAGCACCAGCTCCCATAGAGGAGTTGGAGGTTCTTCGGCGAGGGCTAGCGGTTAAAAGAGGACATGTTAGCTTTCCGGCACTGGGCGTATTTCTGCGTTGGGAACTAAGGACTCACCATTTGGGCCATATTTCTGTCTTGATTCCGATGCCTGGGAGCTAGACAAGCCAGAGCGCTCCGAGACACCGAAATGTTTCAGCACCTCCGCCGGCGAGAGAAGAAAAGAGGTCTCCATGGACGACTATAGAGACCGGATAGTTGACCAGGACCGGGGGAGCAAAAAGAAACAAAAAGAGCGGAGGGGTATGAGGAGAGGCGGAAGTTGGTCTGGGGAGATCAAGACATGGAACTGAAGCCAGGACAGGTGGCCGAACGGAGCAATACCGTAAATTAGTGAGCACTGGGCTGAGCGGAGGCCGAGTTTGGAGAATCCCAGTCGGGAAAGATCTAGAAAGAGAAAAATGGACCCTGGCCAAGGAGGCGAACTTATGCTGTCTAAAACTTAAATGATGAATACCTGTCGCCGCAGGGATGGCTTCCTTATATAATGTATAATGTTCTGATCTCATCATCAACACTTGTGATCTCTCGCCGCCATAGACACGGCTGGCCCTTTCTCCGTCCCATCACGTCCGATCGCCGTCCGACGATGATTACTTAGTGAAGCCATTAGTGAAGCTGGATCTGGTATTTGGTACTACTAATGGGGCCAGGTACGGTGGACTCAAACGTGTTCTTTTTGACGTAGTTGCCGGCTGGCTCTCGGTACCAAGCGACAGGGCTGAACACGCCCGTACCCCAACCTTGTTGATGCCTTTTCTCTTGATCCACGGGTTTGTTTTCTTCACGCATATCAAAGCCATCGAGCAGCCTACATCCCCATTGTGGCTGTTTCCGAGGCTAACAACAACCTTTTTTGAGAGAATAACATCTCAACTATATCGTGCTTTGGCCTGGTGGTGTAATTAATTGGTTATACTGTTACGTTACTTTGACCTCTGCAAGAAATGCTGATGCCTTGTACCAGATCCACAACCAAGACGAGCAAAGTGGCCCTCTCCTGAGTCATGAACCAGTTAACGTATCTTGCTGGGGAACCACGATGAGCTTGTGGACTTTTTGATGGATCATATGCGATGCAATGCCAGCTTGAGTGCGTCAAGAGGTTCAGAACCCAATTGTCGAAGATTATGGGAGACTTTTGGATTGGAGAACCTTGGGATTTCAGGTGCATCTGCTTCATTCTCACCGGTTCGCTGCAGTCACGCACCGCCATTTCTCTCTCTACGGTGTACAATAATGTACATAGGTACTCCTTAGTCCATGATCATCAGGGTGAAAGCGTGTCTGGGGCAAGGCTGTGTCAGACGTATCCCAAATAAATATCAGGTGATCCGGATCATGTGACTGGATAATGCGTAGTCATGTGCCGGAATGACCAGTTACTGCCTGAGGCTTCAAAGTCCCCTGCCCGGTTGGGTGCAAACAAAACAAACCCAAACAAGCTGGGCTGCCGCTTTCTCGCTAAAGCTGGACTGGTCGTCACCTCACCGTTCCATTGCCTCTGGGTTGCTTAGGATCGTCTCGTCATCTCTCCCCAATCTTCATCGCTTCTGTGCTTCAGGCTCTTTTCTTTCACGTCCTTCGCTTCTTCAACCTCATATATCTCTTCTCAACTCATCTGCGTGCACCGTATCCCTCCCGATCTCAATCTAATCAGCCACTATGACTTCTGAGGTATGTTATTCGCGGCCCAACCCCTCCACCTGGTGTTATCAATCCAGCATGAGTGTTATGATGCTATCGCCTGCCTTTGTCCCATATTTCTTTCCCTCCGCCGTTGATTTACCTCATACGTTCGCATTTTACTTAGTTTATGCTCTTGACTAACAATATTTTACTTTCTGCAGCGTGAGAAGTAAGGGTCTAGACTTTTGTATGCCCCAGATAAGAACCGAACTAACACCCCCTCCTTGTTCAGCAAGACGTTCCTCGCCCGCCTTTGCGAGCAGGCTGAACGCTACGATGGTAAGGCACTTTTGACTTTTGGACTGGTCTGAATATCATGGATTAACGTCTGGTCGCCCCGTTGTAGAAATGGTCACGTACATGAAGGTGAGCCGCTAAGCGCCCGCGATAGATTGTTTTGGCGTATCCTGAACACCACCACTAACTCTTCTAATAGGAAGTTGCCAACGTATGCGTGTTCCCCATCTCAAGCTCACGAGCTTCGTTTCCTTGTCATTGCTCCTGTCGCGTTCCGAATAACTGACCCCTCTCAGATTGGAGGCGAACTTACTGTTGACGAGCGTAACCTACTATCTGTCGCTTACAAGAACGTCGTCGGTACCCGCCGTGCCTCGTGGCGTATTATCTCCTCCATCGAACAGAAGGAGGAATCCAAGGGCTCCGAGCAGCACGTCGGCATCATCCGTGATTATCGCCAGAAGATCGAGACCGAGCTGGAGAAGGTCTGCCAGGATGTCCTTGATGTACTAGACGACTCTCTTATCCCCAAGGCCGAGACCGGGGAGTCTAAGGTCTTCTACTACAAGATGTATGGTGCTATTTCTCCATTATGGGACTGTGGAAGTCAGTGGCTGATGCGACGAATAGGAAGGGTGACTACCACCGCTACCTCGCTGAATTCGCCTCCGGCAACAAGCGCAAGGTTGCTGCTACCGCTGCCCACGAGGCTTACAAGGTATGGGTTTATTTCACGTTGCCGTTTATCACTTAGAATGTAAACTTACAAAATACAACAGAATGCAACGGACGTTGCTCAGACCGAACTTACACCCACCCACCCTATCCGCCTTGGACTTGCCTTGAACTTCTCGGTATTCTACTACGAGATTTTGAACTCTCCCGACCGTGCCTGCCACCTCGCCAAGCAGGCTTTCGATGATGCCATTGCGGAGCTCGACTCTCTCTCCGAGGAGAGCTACCGTGACAGCACTCTTATTATGCAGCTGCTGCGTGACAATCTCACTCTATGGACTTCATCTGACGGCAACGAGGCTGAGAACCAGTCTGCAGCCCCCAAGGAAGAGAAGCCCGAGGAGGAGGCCGCCGCTCCTAAGGAGGAGAAACCCGAGGAGGAGGCCAAGGCACCTGAGTCGTAAGGGCGGTGATCATTGTTTTACTTCTGTGTTGTAGCAAAAAACCGCGTTATGCGCTCGGCGTGCCCCTGGGCGTACGAATACTCCCCCAAAGTGTTTTGCGAAAGTCTGTTGTTTTAGCTGCGTGACAGGTTTGGACCGGCACTTATTTTCCACCTGTTTGGGATTATCTGGGTCGGCCAGCGGAGTTTAACATTCGGAGAGCGGAGGAAAGGGGCGGAGTGGAATTATCTATCTCTCTTTTATTCTCTCTTTTTTTATTCCCACCCCAGCAAGATACAGTGTGTTAGTTCAGGTTTTTTCTCACTTATCGCCTTCTGCCATTTACCCCTTGCCCCTTCCCCTCCATGTTTACCCCCCATACAATCAAGGCTGATAGGATTCAGTATCCGAATCCGAGTAGTTGATTCCATCGCTACTTTCAAGTGTAGGCGTGCCCTTCGGTGGTACTATTATCTCTAATTAGCCCTGCTATCCCTGACAAACCAAGCTAATAATATCAGCTATGGGCACATGCATACTTATGCTGTTGACCCATGGTGGTGGAACATGGCCGCTCCATTTGCTCGTGTATCTTTAGATCGCGTAGTCAACATGACCTTACTAGGTACCCGGGCGTGGCAGATACTAATCACTCAAATTACTACCTTGCATCGGTGTGAACAAAGGCAGAACCACATAGGATCATTTAATCATAGTGTTCCTATGGAGCATATTTCATCATTTTTGAGTGGTTAAACTTTCAAATGCAAGAATACAGTTATTCACAAACTGAAAGAAGTTCTATTGGACTGAAATCGTGCTATATGTTCGCACTGGAAGCCAAGGAATATGTTCAACTTGGAGGATATAGAAAACATGGAGGAGAAGAATTGTCGATCTATAACCTAGATTTTCAACGGAGGAAAAATAAAAAAAACAGGAGGTATGTGGGCAAATACCACGAAAGAAGAAGGAAGATAAAACAAAAGGAAATCACATAAAGTCATCGTCATCCAAACCATCATCGTCGTAAGAAGATGTCTCAATCTTGTTCTCTCTCTGCGCAACCAACGACACCTTCGTCTTCGCAGCCTTGGTCTTCTTGCTTCCTTTGTCAGCAGCTCGCTCCTCCTTCATCTTCTCATTACTCAATGTCGTCAAAGTACTAGCAATCTTCTTGATGTCACCACTAGGCAAATCTTTGGCTAATGCCTTCGTGAACTCCGGCAACCAAAGCGCATACTGAGGCTTCTTGCTTTGCAGAGCCAAAAGCGGCGCAATCGTGCTCGTCACTTTAGCAAACTGATCCTTAGTCGTCGGCTTGAACAGCGACATGGCAGACAAATCTACTGCCTGTGTCGGATCACCCGAAGCATCATTCACAACAACGGTCTTGTTCTTGCCCCGGTTGCGGTTTAGATCAATATCCCCAAAGAGATCCTCAGCGTGCTTGAGGTCAGAGTCCTTTTCGGTTGCGCGCAGACGAGCACGCTTATCGGCCTCATCCTCGTCACTATCCTCGTCCTCATCCTCCTCAGCGGCCTTCTGGCGCGTCTTCTTGTGCTCTGCTATCCGCTGCGCCTTGCTCTTCTTGTTGGCGGCGGCTTCGGCGTCCGCTTTGGCTTTAGCTTCGGCGGCTTTGGCGGCCTTCTCACGCTCTACGTCGCTGTCTTCGGCGGCATCCCAGGAGTCGAGGACCTAGTTTCATAACTCGCCAGTTAGACGAGTTGTTCTCAAGATAGTGTGTAAGGAGGGGGTGAGTGAAGTATATACATCGTCTTCTTCCTCGTCATCGAATCGACGGCGGGCAGCAACAGGGGGAGGAGAAACACTCTCTTCCTCTTCTTCGTCTGTTACAAACATTGAATTAGTACTCCGCTCGCGGGCCACGATGAAGAAAAGTAATTTTGAACTTACCCCACTTGGATGGCGGCATGGTGGCTAGACAGTATTTAGGATGAGTGAGGAAAGTATCCGAGGTACTTCGATATATCGCTGGCCCTGCAAAGAGAGAACTTCCCGAAGCAGGAATTTGTCGTGGACAAAATCGACAATCGTTGGGGGAGGGCAAAAGTCGTTCCTTTTGCCAGCACTTGTTCAATACTGTACCTGGTGGGGCATGTGGTGAGTCACGTGCTATTTTTTTTCATGCCCGATCCTTCAGGAATTCGCTTCATGCTAGTACAGTGTACGCCTTACGAAGTACAACATTATGATTTGAATATGACTAGAGACAGTGGTTGTTCTAGTTACTATAAATTACGATGCTCTACCTGGTTGATTTCAGAAACTTTTCATTAGGCCACTGTATCATTTAATTGGCTGTTAGATTCGTCATCATAAATGTTTCCCTCCTTCTGGCCACCTGTTACCCATACAACTCAATTTAGGCGCTGTTTAGGAGAAGTGAGGTCAAGTGCCGAAGACCTGACCCATACCAGTTCGGGGTCTGATCCCAATCATCCGCGAAATAGCACGTCCGATTGCAAAAGTTGGTTTCATAGCTGCATTTACAGGTTGACGGAGTTGCGGAACTTCTCGCCAGCGTAGATGGCGTTCTCTCCAAGCTCCTCCTCAATGCGGAGGATCTGGTTAAGCTTGGCCAGACGCTCAGACCGGGCGGGAGCACCAGTCTTGATCTGGCCGGAGCGCAGACCCACGGAGATGTCGGCAATGGTGACGTCCTCGGTCTCACCGGAGCGGTGGGACACCATGACACCCCAGTTGTCGGCATAGGAGTCCTTGGCGGCCTGGATGGACTCGGTGAGAGTACCGATCTGGTTGACCTTAAGGAGAAGGGCGTTGCAAGACTTGAGCTCAATGGCCTTCTTGATGCGGAGAGGGTTGGTGACAGTCAAGTCATCACTATTGTTTTGTTAGACAAATCAATTGATAAAGCGAAAGGAAGCACGTACCCAACGATCTGGAAGTCGGAGGTCTTGTAGAAGTAGCTCCAAGCCTCCCAGTCATCCTCAGCGAAGGGGTCCTCGATACTGACGATGGGGTACTTAGAGGCGAGGGACTTGTAGAGGTCGGCAAGTTGCTCGTAAGTGAGCCACTTGGAGGGGTCGCTGTCGGGGTTCTTGAAGTCCAGGTCGTACTTCTTCTCCTCGGCCTTGTAGAACTCGCTAGACGCAACATCCATGGCGATGTGGATCTTGCCGGTGTAGCCAGCCTGCTCAATGGCCTCGGTGATGAGGTCAAGAGCCTCCTCTGCGGTCTGGATATCGGGAGCAACACCACCCTCGTCACCGACGTTACCGGCAGACTGGCCATACTTCTTCTTGGCCAGAGCCTTGAGCTTGTGGTAGACCTCAGCACCCTGGCGGAGACCCTCAGAGAAGGAGGAAGCAGTGCTTATTAACGTTAGTATACTTCTAATGACTGCTTATCCTCACGCGGGACTCACTCGGGAACAATCATGAATTCCTGGAAGGCCAGGCGGCCACCAGCGTGGGAGCCACCGTTCAGGACGTTCTGGAAGGGAACGGGGAGGACGTAGGGCTTCTTGGTTCCAGCCAAGTCGGAGATGTGAGCATAGAGAGGGACACCCTTCTCAGCAGCACCAGCCTTGGCAATCGCCAAGCTGACACCGAGGATGGCGTTGGCACCAAGGTTCTTCTTGTTGGCAGTTCCGTCGAGCTGGTTGAGGAATGCGTCAACCTTGGACTGCTCCTTAACATCGATGTTCTCCTTGATGACGGCAGGGGCGATGACTTCGTTGACGTTCTTAACGGCAGTCAGGACACCTGGTAGAAGAGTATGGTTAGGAGTCCAGTCATATGAATGGTGAATGTTTGGAGGAACGTACCCTTTCCGAGCCACTTGGACTTGTCGCCATCACGGAGCTCGTGAGCCTCATGCTGACCTGCGATTGAGTGTTAGCAACATGGACCCTCTTCGCAATCAGGGTATCTTCGATAGTTTACACACCAGTGGAAGCTCCAGAAGGAACAATGGCGCGGTGAAGACCAGTCTCAGTGACAACGTCCACCTCAACGGTGGGGTTACCACGAGAATCGTAGACAGAGCGGGCGTGGATCTTGGTGATAGGCATTTTGATGAACTAGGGATATGGAATTAGAAAGGGAGGGAGAAAAATTTCGCAAGAAGGAATTGTCAACAAATATGACAGAAGGCGGAAGGCAAACAAATGCTGGTAGTGGTCTAGCAGGCGGGGGTGGTTCACCGATGGCCCAAAATGAATGATGGATGCCAGCAGGTGAGCAATGGAGTCACCGGTCAATCACTGATCGATCGAGACCACATGAACTCGAATTAGAAACAGACTATTGTGGAGGAAGCATACCAATAAATCCAATGTCCAACTGGAGCAGTGGTGATGATGGTGCTACCTTGATGATAAGGAGGGGTCAAGCTTAAGCTGGTGGGATGGTGGGGTTGACAAGCACAAGGGTACTATAAGGCAAAAAAAGAAATGGAACTTACCAAACCTTTGGGGCGGCGAAAAGAGTAAAACAACAACAGCGAACGGAGCTACTGAGAGGTGACAATTGGGATGGAAACAGCTGGTTCTTGTATTCTACGCACCGGAAAGCTCACGGCCAGTTCCTCCGGATCTTTCCAAGGAGATGGTGGGGCAGCAACCTCCTGTTTGTTGGCTCACGAGGTTTCATTACGCTCTACAGCGAGATCTCCCGTACTCCCTCGGGGTAAGGCGGGTGGCAGGAGGCCCTGCGAGAATCAATTCGAATCATCTATAATGGCGGTTATCATCGTAGCCTATCCTATACTTCATCCATCGTGAGCTCTCTGGAAGCACCATAATATTGTAGTTAAGTTTTTGTGACGCAATTGACTCAGGAGCATTCTGTGCACTTGTTCATACCTGAGTCTAGAGCCATTACTGAATGTAAAGAGCTCTGACGTTACTTCACGGCTCTCCCTTCTGATGTATTTCGTGCCCAAGGCCCTGTTGGCAACTCGGCAAGTTCATTGCGTAATGAGGGACGAAAACGACAAAGCCGGAATTGACAAGACACCTTGGTGCCTGAAACCTGGCACCGGATAATAGATACCGCGGTATGCCTTGTGGCCTTATCGGAGCCATAATTATGGCCTGAATAATAGGGCATACAGATGATCATGTGACTAAATGCCTGGGCGCGAGCTTGAGAGAGAGCTCTCAAGCTAAGTCCAGATACGCTTGAATCAGCATCTCCGTCATCACACCGATCCTCCCACAGCCCCAATAACTCCCCTCCGTCCGGTTCTTCGAGGCTATTTGGACTCTTCATTTGATTAATAACCCCTGTTGGCCTTCGATTCATCATGAACGGCGCCGCTGATCCCGAGAGGGAACAGGCGCTGGAGGATTACAAGCGGAGCCTACTGGACCTCCGAGAATGGGAGGCCAAGCTCAAGACGCTTCGTATGGGCATCAAAGACTTGCAGAGGGAGTTTGATATTTCGGAAGAAAACATCAAAGCTCTGCAAAGTGTCGGTCAGATCATCGGGGAGGTGCTGAAACAACTTGATGAGGAGCGATGTACGTTCACCCGCAATAGCTGTGTCGATTTATCATCTTTTATGCCGCGGCAGCTAACCAGAACTAGTCATTGTCAAGGCCTCGTCTGGACCCAGATACGTTGTCGGTTGCCGTTCGAAAGTTGACAGGGCCAAGTTGAAGCAAGGAACTCGTGTTACTCTCGATATGACCACTCTCACCATCATGAGGATGCTACCGAGGGAGGTTGATCCGCTGGTGTATAACATGTCTTTGGAGGACCCAGGGCAGATCAATTTTGCTGGAATCGGTGGTCTCAATGAGCAGATTCGTGAGCTACGTGAAGTGATTGAGTTGCCACTGAAGAACCCCGAGCTTTTCCAAAGAGTTGGAATCAAACCGCCCAAGGGTGTGTTGCTCTATGGGCCTCCAGGAACAGGAAAGACGCTTCTGGCGCGTGCCGTAGCAAGCTCTATAGAGACCAACTTCTTGAAAGGTAACCAGCCGCCACCGTCTAATACCCAAATCCTCGCTAACATGACCTAGTTGTCTCATCTGCCATCGTTGACAAATACATTGGTGAATCCGCACGGTTAATCCGAGAAATGTTTGGTTATGCCAAGGAACACGAACCCTGTATCATCTTCATGGACGAAATTGATGCCATCGGTGGCCGACGATTTTCTGAAGGTACCTCGGCAGATCGTGAAATTCAGCGAACATTGATGGAGCTTCTCAACCAGTTGGATGGTTTCGACTACTTAGGGAAGACGAAGATTATTATGGCTACGAATCGACCTGACACACTTGACCCTGCCCTGCTGCGCGCTGGTCGCCTGGACCGGAAGATCGAGATCCCCCTGCCTAACGAGGTTGGCCGCCTTGAGATCTTGAAAATTCACTCGAGCACTGTACAGATGGAAGGAGACATTGACTTCGAAAGCGTTGTGAAGATGAGCGATGGATTGAACGGTGCTGATCTTCGCAATGTGGTCACGGAAGCGTATGTTGTGCCTCTCTTCCCGTCCCCGCTCAGTAACTAACATCAGAACAGGGGTTTGTTTGCTATCAAGGATTACCGAGATGCGATCAATCAGGACGACTTCAACAGGGCTGTTCGTAAGGTGGCTGAAGCGAAGAAGTTGGAAGGCAAGCTCGAATACCAGAAGCTGTAGACTAGTCGACCGCAGATAGCATTGTCATTTACGGAATCATTGAACAATTAGCCATGCTATGAACCATAAAATCGAGTAGGCATGTGTAAAGTAGTCACATTCGATATGAATTGTATTCTCGTGAAGGTGCCAGTGGGCGCTGTTTAGCGTCTCAGGTGCCCTGTTAAGTTTGCGAAGTGTTTGGGGATATTCCAGCCAAGAGTGACGGTTCCTCGCCATGAACCCGGCCAATTAAAGCGAGTCCGGAATGGAATCACAACATGTGGCCACTCCTTTGTGAACAATCAATCCGACACAACCACAGGGATCGAGGTAACCACCTATAACTGTTGCTAGTGGAGATTTCTCCGCTACGAACGTGTAAACCCAACACATAAAGCTGGCTGCGACGGGTTCTCCAGCGCTCGCTGCACGGTTAGTGATTCCTTGCTTCCTCCACGCGATCCTCGTTAAGTTATCGGGCTGGTCTTGTTGGCTGTCGACAATGCTAACGTCACACCTGGTTTCTTCTAGAAATAAGGCGGCGATACCTACGTTTGCTCGAAACGTGGCGGCTGGGAAGCAAAGAGAGCCCGATCAACGTTGAAAACATTACCTATGCCGCACATTTAGACTAGAGCCTCGATCATAACCTCGACTGTCTCTGTGAGACCCTTTCTCAATATCTGAGAGGACGACGCGGCTATGTCTTTCCCGAACCCTCACAGCAGTCCTTCATACACTCCCTCGCGCTCTCCCTCAGACAAATACTGGCAGGCAAGCCGCAGCCCCGGGCCAAGTGGAGGATTGGGGGGTTATGGATTCTCGCAACCAGCTGGGGTCGCGAATAACCTCAACAATTTCTTTTCCGGCGACCGAACGCTTCCAATGTACAAGGATAAACCATTTTTTGCACCGCGGCGGACGGGCCCGAGGCTTCGACGAAGAAGGGTCTTTCAAGGCGTCCTCCTCCTAGTTGTGCTGTTTTGTCTCTGGTACGTCATTACAGGGTCCAATAACCCCAATCGGTCTCCGTGGACGTCAGACACGAAGAAGGGTGAGAAGTTATACAAGTGGGTTAAGAGTTTGGAATCGGAACAGCCCTATGATGGCACACCATTGAAGAATGTTGATTGGGATACGCGACGGGAGAAGGTTCGGGATGCATTTATTGTCAGCTGGGATGGTTACGAGCGGTATGCTTGGGGTATGTTACTACGGAGCTTTTTTGTGGCCTTGACTGCTTACTGACGGATGTCTCTGAAAGGCTTCGACGAGTATTACCCAGTTTCCAAGAAGACTAAAAACATGGTCGAGGGTGGAATGGGCTGGCAAATAGTGGATGCATTGGATACGCTAATGATCATGAACCTCACATCGCGTGTACAGCATGCGCGCACATGGATTCACAACTCGCTGCAATATAACCAAGACCATGATGTGAACACATTCGAAACCACCATACGCATGCTCGGTGGTCTTCTCTCCGCTCATTATCTCTCTACAGAATATCCCAGTCTTGCGCCTATTACTGACGATGACATTGGATCACCGGGCGAGGATCTATACATCGAAAAGGCTACCGATCTTGCAGAAAGACTAATGGGCGCTTTTGATTCAGGTTCGGGAATACCATATGCCAGCATCAACCTCAATAAGTCCACTGGTATTCCAGCGCACTCTGACGGTGGCGCTTCGTCTACGGCCGAAGCAACCTCGGTGCAACTCGAGTTCAAGTACTTGGCCAAGTTGACGGGGGAGGCTGAGTACTGGCGCATTGTAGAGAAGGTGATGCAAGTGGTTGATGAGAATCACAGCCCTGATGGGCTTGTTCCCATCTATATCCACCCGGAAACAGGCAATTTCAGGGGATCTAACATCCGCCTTGGTAGTAGAGGCGACTCTTATTATGGTACGACATCCCCAAAGCTACCTAAGTAACCGTGTGCTAATGAACCCCTAGAATACTTGATCAAGCAATACATCCAGACATCAGAGGATATTTACAAAGATATGTGGGAGGAGGCGCTTGTCGGAATCCGCAAACACCTCATCACTTATTCAAAGAATGCCCGATTGACCGTTCTGGGCGAGCGACAAAGCGGTCTTGCCGGGTCCCTTAGTCCCAAAATGGACCACCTCGCCTGCTTCCTCCCAGGGACTATTGCCCTTGGAGCCACAGGAGGTGTCCCGCTTTCTGAGGCTAAAAAATCGCCGGAGTGGACGCGTCGACACGACGAGGAGATCCTCCTCGCCAAAGAACTAACGAAGACCTGCTGGGCAACATACCTAGCCACGAAGACGGGGCTTGCTGGTGAAATCTCGTACTTTGAAATTGATTCACCACATGTCTCGGAACTAGATCAATACCCCGATTCTACCATCGCCACAGGCACGAACCAAAAGGCAGCCGGCAAAGATCTGCCTCTCAAGTCGCAGCCCCTCTATCCTCTTGCAAATTCCAAATCGGATCCCAATTCCTGGCGTCAGGACATCACCGTCCGCAACAACGACAGGCACAATCTCCAGCGCCCAGAAACTGTCGAATCTCTATTTTACATGTACCGCATTACGGGCGACGAAACCTACCGTCACTGGGGATGGGAGATGTTCAAGTCATTCGTCACACACAGCGCCGTTGTTGAGAAATCATCCCACTACGAAACCGAGTCCGGAGACGCGACAACGTACCGGATCGTAAGCTTCAACTCGCTCTCGAATGTGAATACACTCCCAGCCTCTCAACGGGACAACATGGAGAGCTTTTGGATGGCAGAGACACTGAAGTACTTTTATCTTCTGTTTTCTGATCGCGACTTCCTTCCGCTTGAGGAGAATGTGTTCAATACGGAGGCTCACCCGATGCCACGCTTCAAACCGACTGGGGAGTTGAAGACTGGTTGGGCGAGGACCAAGGCGCCTGTATGAGTACGAGTTGAGTTTATAAGTTATAACTGTGTGTATTCGTTGCAGACACGTTTTGGAGTTCAGATTCATCGCTTTTGTTAAATCAAGTTTGGGCTTGTTATCAACTGTACAAAGCTTGCACAATGCACGAGGTACGCCAATTACTAAGGCCAAGGCTGCTGGGTATTATATACGCCAACCCCCAGAACATTATATAGTAGTGAATCAAAGCCGATCCAATGCAGCATCAATCAGCCTCCGATACCCCTTAACGGCTTCCTCCAACTGCGCAACCGTAATCGACTCATGATCCCCATGAGCAACGAAGATACTTCCCGGCCCATAAAGATACCGCTTTACATCACTCCCCTTGTAGACCTTTA